GCACTGTCATTTAACGTTGTTCTGCTAGTTCTAGGGAAAGCAATAAGGAGAATCAGAATCAGAGGTATTGTTATGGATAAAAAAGAGACAATGACTTATTATTAGTGGTAAAGAGTGTTGTATTCTAGAGAGAACATAAGGATCCATTAAAATATTTTTTAGAATTGAATTCAATTTCTTTCAGTAAGTAAAAGTTACAAAAAGTTTGTGGAAGACAAAGGCACAGTATTGCCAAAATATTAGTTCTTTCAAAATTAATCTATTCTTGCAAATCTGTAAGATTCCAATGGGGAATCGTGGACACAATGCTTTAAATTTCTTCCCCTACATCCAGAAAAATTATTAATGGATTTTATTTGGTTTATTCATTGCTACATCAACTAATGTCTAGAGCAGATAATCACACTTAAAACTAAACATCTCTGCAGATCAGAAACAGAGCAGGAAGCTACAGGCAGGGTCTAACCTGGCTGGCTGGCTGCTGGGTTTGAATTCTATAAAAACAGCTATGAATTCAGCCCCTGTAAGGTAATGGGTACCAAGAGTACTTCACACTTGCTGGGGGGAAGAGGGGGGAGATAAAAATCAAGTTCAGTGTGTGATTACCTGGGTCTGAGTCTACATCTGAGCCCCACCTCTCATGAAAAGAGGTTTTCTGTGGGGCCCAAAGAAAGTTGATTGTCATACCCTGGATCACAGGAGCAGGAGCAGTACCAGCAACCAGAGCCTGGAATGGGGTTTTCTCCCCAGAGCTGCAACATAAGGACCAAGGCTATCAGTATAAGGCCTGGTTCTGTAGTAGAGATCTAGGGAATAAATAGCTGAAGATACCACAAAACCGCTACACAGAAGGTGACATCCAAGGGAAGAAGAAAATGAAAAAAAAATAAATAAATAAACAAATTCCTCATAATGTAAACTAGAAAAATTCCAAGCCACGAAAAAATTCTAACAAAAGAAAGTGGAAAAAAGAAAAGAAAAGAAAAAATATTGAGATGAATTTCCTCTTGATGAAGCCAAATTTTTCTGATGAGTAAAACTCAAAAGGACATGTAAGGACTTTATA